CATCAGCGTCCACATCTACGTTCGACCATACTTTCTTCCTTCCATAGAGAAATCTTATACCTTGCCACAGATGTTTGCTGTTTCCAGTCCTCAGAATTTGATCAGAGAATAATGTGTTCAATCTATTTACTTCAGCTTTGATAAACCTGGACAAATACCTAACCGCTGAAGCATTGTGAGATTTGTACGCACGTTCCTTTTGTCGTCGCATTGATTAAGTAGGGCAGAGTTTATTCTTCTGTCAGACACATAGAGACTTTGAACAGGGCAGCCGTAACTAAAAATGGCATTAATTGTTTGGGTGAATAGGGGGATACATGTGAGCAGAGAAGATGATGAAAACCATCGGGAGGCCTGTCTGAGAGATTCATTCAGGAGGGAAACAAGTGCAGGTGAGAAGTTAAGAAAACAAAACCTGATGTGCTTAGATTGGGAGAAAGATTTGTACACACTATGTGAATAAACCTTAGACCGAACTAAGAGTAAGCAGTGGTCAATGGAAGAAATAGGAGCTTTTAGTGCTAAAGAAAAAAGGTTTGGGTGGTTGGTAATAACTCCTTCTTAGTACAGCGTTACCTCTTGTGGGAGAGTGACAGAGATCTGCCATTCCCAATGATAAAATTGGATGAGTGCTGCTATGGTTGAAGTCACCCACGATCATGTGCAGGTTAACATCTAAAATTGGGGCAATAAAAGGTATGAATGAGTCGAAAAATGACATACGATCAGACTGTGTACAGGAGGGGGCTATATACAAGTTAGTCAAAATTGTGTGAGTAAAACGGGAAAATCTAGGGTGACACTGTACAGTTAGGCACTGAACACCTTTTGAGCAGTACTGATAAACAACATTGGACTGGCCACACCAGGAAACATTGATATATGTGGCAAAACCCTCTCCGATCTTTTTTCCTCCAGCTCCACGATCCCGCCGGTAAACTTGAAAACCGTCTATTGACTCTAGAGAGTCATTTACTTCCTTATTCGACCAGGATTCTTGAACACAGACTGCACACGTGTTCTTATGAATTCTTGATCGGAGGACACTAGTTAAATCCGAAATTTTGGGAAACAGGGACCGAGTGTTGGTGCTGATCAGTGACGGGACGGTCATCCTTGACAGAGGGGTGCAATTAAGAGCAACTTGATATTCTGCTCGCTTGCCTTTTTTGGTCCAGCCTGGACAGTGAGAAAGTGGACTCGAACAAACCGCTGAACATTGGAGCAGGTCCTGGCACGTTTGAAACAAATAATATCATCCCGTGAGTAACGATGGCTCATGATAATGAGAGAAAAGGTGAAAATTCCCACAATGTGACGGAGAGATTGTAAGTGTAGCGCAGCCAATCGAAGGTGGCTACTCGCACTCAACCGGAAACTAGACCTGTATCTTGGCCTAATTCCTAAACGGTAAGATCTCCGCGGCCGGTGGGGTTTACTCAAATCGGTATGTTTTCCTTACTTTCTGATCTGTTGCACTGCATGCAGATACTGCACCCCCTCCCCTGCACTTTCCCCATTTCAGGTTAC